ATATTGGAGGGGAAGGGAGGAGAGGAGGGTAGGAGGTGAGGGAGGGAGGAATGGGAGGAAGGAGGGAGGTGATGGAGGGGTAGGGAGGAGAGGGAGGGGAGGTGAAGGGAGGGAGGGGGGGAAGGGAGGTGAAGGAGTGAGGGAGAAGAAAGAAAAGGACGTATATATGTATACATGTATATGCAAATATCTATACATATTTGTACAGACACAACAAACAACTCTCCCACCAACACAAACACCCCCCCATCCCCCCTAAACTCAACCAACCCACCAACCCAACCCACCCAGACAAGCCCACGACACCCCCACCCCCCACCCCTTCCTCCTCCAGCATCACCGACACACACATTCGAAGATTCGAATCCCCGATTCTTGAAATAATTCCTGAGTCGAATACCCGAACCCCGAATCGAATCCTGAGTCGAATCCCCGAACCCCGAATCCCCGAATCGAATCCCCGAACCCTGAATCCTAAATCGAACCCTGATTCGAACCCTCGTCCCCGAATCCCCTAAATCGAATCCCCGAACCCCGTATTGAACCCTAAATCGAACCCCGAATCGAACCCCCGAACCCCGAACCCTCTAAATCGAACCCCGACTCGAATCTCCGCGTCCCCGAATCCCGTTAAATCGAATCTCCTCTCCCGGAACAAGTCGACCCGGGACTCCACTTACACCAGTTCGTCTGGCGTGATTGCACAAAGACGCAGGCAAATGCGAGTTGCAAATGGCGCTGCAATGCTGGTTTTGCGTGGGATCTCTTGGCGGCGAATGCGGGCGTGTGTGTTTGCTCGGGCGGGGGGAATGGTTAAAAAAAAAGGGTGATGGGGGAAATAGAAGATGGAGATGGTGAAATAAAAGATGGAGATGGTGAAGATGGTGAAAAGATGGTGGTGATGATGATAAAAAGATGATGATAAAATGATAAAAATAAAAAATGATGAAGATGGTGATGATATGGATGATGGTGATGATTGGTATAAAGGTGATGGTGTAAATAAAAGAAGATGGAGATGGTGAAAAGATGGTGGTGATGATGATAAAAAGATGATGAAGATGGTGATGATGATTGATAAAAAGATGATGGTGTAATAAAAGAGGATGGAGATGGTGAAGATGGTGGTGATGATGATAAAAAGATGATGAAGATGGTGAAGATGGTGATGGTAATAATGATGTTGATGATTGATATAAAGGTGATGGTGAAATAAAGAAGATGGTGAAGGTGGTGAAGATGTGGTGATGATGATAAAAAAAGGATGAAAATGGTGATGATTGGTAAAAAGGTGGTGGTGAAATAAAAGAAATTGGAGATGGTGAAAAGATGGTGATGGTGGTGATAAAAAGATGAAGATGGTGATGATGATAATGATGATGATTGATAAAAAGGTGATGGTGAAATAAAAGATGGAGATGGTGAAAAGATGGTGGTGATGGTGGTGATGATAAAAAGATGATGAAGATGGTGATGGTAATAATGATGATGGTGACTGATATAAAGGTGATGGTGAAATAAAAGGTGAAAATGATAAAAAAGATGGTGAATATGGTGGTGATGATTATGATTGATAAAAAAGGTGATAATGAAATAAATGAAGATGGTGATGGTGATAATGATGAAGAAGAAGAAAAAATAAGGGAAAGAGAAAGGAGACAGAAAAGTTGGTGATGATGAAGATGAAGATGATAAAAAAAGGTGATCATAATGATGAAGAATAAGGAGGAGAAGCAAAGGAAGGAAAAGGAGATGATGAAGATGATAAGAATGATGAAAATTAAAAATAAATAAGTAAATAAAATAAAAAAATAAAAAAAAAAAAAAAAGTGATGAAGGAGAGAGACGATGAAAGATGACAATGAAAGAAGAAATGGATAATAATAAAGAAGGAGAAGAAGCAGAAGGATATTGAGAAAATGAAGATGAAGAGTAAGAGGTAGACGAAGAAGATGATGAAAATAATGATAACGAAGAGAAAAACTAGACACAACATAAGAAATTATCGTAAGATTTGATGTAATTCATAATTATTATAAAAAAAATTACTGATGACATCATATTTTGTGACTCATAATTATTATAAGAAATTACTGATGACATCATATTTGTGACGAAGTTAAGATTCTCCTATGGAATTCTACTCTGATATTTATCTCCTTCGATCTATTCGTATAAGAGGCTCGGAAAGATCTTTTAAGATTCCATTTTGCTTCGATAAGAAACCGTTGCAAGTTGATTTTTATGGTTTATGGGATTATGAGGACAATAAATCAATGAAAACAGTTACTTGCTCGCTGTGCTTTTTAGTTTGTGTTTTTTTAGGCGGTCATAAACATATACACATACTCACACGTGCGTGTGTTTGTGTGGTGTGTGTGTGTAGGAGTGTGTGTATGTGGTGTGGGAGTGGTGGTGTGTGTGTGTGTGTTGTGTGTGTGTGTGTGTGTGTTGTGTGTGTGTGTGTGTGTGTGTGTGTGTTGGTGTGTGTGTGTGTGTA